TATTTTCCAAAACAAACTCTTCACTGTAAAGTTATGGAATATGGACTATTTTCCTCAGACTGGAAGAGGGTGGTCCAGTCCCTGAAAGTAAGTGCATACTGAAGCATTAAGGCATATTATTTATCCATGTAAATACATATTTTGGTATACACATTCTTAAGTGCACACAGTTGTGTGGGGTAGATGGGTATTTTGGTCAATATAATGTTGAGCATTGACTTGAAAATGTGCAAAATAACTTTACTGTTGGTGATTTTAACTTCTGTATCTAAAATGGAGTGTAATTTTAAAGTGGCAAGAGCAGAGAAAGTTCTCTACTTCGGTTGGATTTTGAATAATTATTTTTAGAGTTAGCTCCCTAAAACCTGATATTTGTATAAGATTTATTGAAATATCCCTAACTCCAGTCTAGCATCACAACCTGCAACAGTAGAATCACAACCTTATTTCCACTGTCTGGCAACAATGTAAGGGTAGAGTCCTGATTTGCTATACATATTGTCACAACCTGTAACTATTCAATGTTTGGAACAACTTGTGCATAATAAGTCCTCAGTTGTATCTCTTGGAGCTAATCCATTTATTTTTCATTATTTTTCATGACTGGGAGAAATATAATTGTGGCTGATTAAAAATATGAACAGCAATGATATCAACTAGATGAGCACAGATTATCATGTCAGAAATAGAAGAAAGCAAACATACCCCACAATTTAAGGACTAATAAACTCTGTAAATGTTATTGTAATTTGCAACAATCAACACAATCCACATCAATTCCCAGTAAATCCCAAATTGTACAATGATTATATAGGAAAAAAAGTTTACCAACAAAGCATGGAACTTTTATCAGGGAGTAATCCTATGAATACATAGACACTTGCTAATTTCTTTCTTTTTTAAAAAAAATATTGGGACTACACAGTGCAGATCTGTATGCATGTGCCTGTCTTGACAGGATTAGTCCCGTAACTGACCATATTTTCAAGAGGAGCCTCTGTGTGGCTAATCCTGTAAGCACCTACTACAAAGGTCCCACTACCACTGTAAATACTTATAGGACTGAGCCCAGTTTTGTGCAGATGATTCTCCTCTTGAACATACAGGCAGAGGTTTACACACCATTTTATCTGCAACCATGGGATTAGGCTGTTGAAAAGAAATTGCACCCAATAATTGCAAGCAAACATTCAGAGGCTAAAGTGAACATTGGATTTATGTGTTCCCGATGTTACTGTGGTAGGAGTTCCCCACACAAACAAACAAACAAAAAATACCAATCTTTTCACAGGTACTTCCAAGTTCAATAATTAAAAAATCACCCTGTTTTGCTGCTGGAATCATCAGACTCCATGTGCTGGGGGAGATCATGAAGGCAATTAACTTGACTATAGAGTTTGGATGAGCAAATGAATTAAAACAGCTCTTGATGCATTTGAGAAGATACATGGCGGTACTTCATTTTGAACCATCTTTGAATTGTTCCTTTCTCCTTGAGAGAGTAGTGCCACACATATACTTTCTGCACCACTACCCTTTCAACCTATTGAACACATTCCAGAACTTTAAAGCTGCAATACAAGAAAAAAAGGATGGCTTCACACATTCAAATGCATAGGGAGAATAGGAGGCACAAGGGACTCACACATGCTGTTCTCGGTACCTCTTTGTACCATTCTATAGGGGATATGCCTATGTCCTATTTAAAAGTTCCCAGTACAAAAGAAGCACAAAATCCTTCAGCTGCAAATCACTTGTGCTTTCTGCTATCCCATCATGTCTGAATAGCCAGTCACTCAGAGTGTCAGAATATTCTACCAGATCAAACAAGCTTTTTTTAAAAAATGCCTTATTTATGTCACTGATAGTCCTATAAGATAGGATGAGGAAATAATAATATTTTATCTGTGAATCCAAATTGTATGATTAAATAATATTGTCCTGCCATCTTCAAGTCTCAAAACAGAACATTCTAATGGTTTCTAAGAGCCATCTGCTACATAATTTGATTTCTTTCCTAATCTATGTACAGTTTACTTATGGAGAAGAATATCAAGGACCTAAAGGAATGTGTAATTTAAGCCTTCAAAATTGGATGTGGATAAACTGAGCGTATTGAGTTTTGAGCCAGCAATAGCAGTGCAGAGCTCTGATAGAAGACCCTGTTGAAGACTGTGTGACTATTCTGCAGCAGGATGCTCAAACTGCTCACAAAGTCTCCTTCTTTCCCTCCAGCTTTTGTAAGCTGACACATGGGTGATGTACAGTGCAACCCTAAGCATGTTTTACTTAGAAAGAAGACCCACTTAGCTCAAGGAGGCTTATTCTTTGGTAAACATGCTTAGCATTACAGCCTTAATTATTTAATAAACCATGATTCTTTCTCTGAATGCCAGTTTAAACTGAGTTACATTTTAACCACTGCAGCCACTAAATTTCCCTTGAGCTCTTAATTTCCCTTGGTTATAATCATTGCTCTAAAAGCTTGTTTACATGAGCTCATTCTGAACTGTAACAGCTAACCTCTCTTTCTCTCTTTGAGACATGAACTTACTGTGTTTTGTGCATAGCTCCTAACAACTTCAGTTAAAGAGACAAGCTGTTAACTCTTAGGTCCTTTCCGCATTTGGATCTCACCCCTGGTTTTATCAGAGTTCAACTCACGTTACAATGCCTTGCATTTATCCCTGTTATAACAGCATCCGTTTATCCCAGGAAAATTGTGGGGTGAAACCAGGGTGACCTCAATGTAATGTGGAAACAAAAAATACCCCGAGATAATTACAGGGTTGAACTCTAGTGTAGTGTAGAATGTAAAAAACACCCCAAGATACAGGGGTGAACTCACGTGTAGTGTAGAATGTAAGTTCAGGGACAGGGTTGAACCAGAATTTAAGGTCTAGTGTGGAAAGGACCTTAGTCTGATTCTGAACCAGTGAGAACAGATATCTCAAGCAGCAAAGGGTAATTTCCCACCATTTGTTCTTGCATAAAGAACCAGACTAAATCCAAATGAAAGCATTTTGCATGTACTTCAGTATTTACTTATTTAACACGGGATACATTTGCAAACACCCCCCTTCCCCCAGTTTTCAGGTGTTATTTTAAGACCTTTGTTAACTGGTAATGCAATATACAGTGGAGGCAAAGCATCACCTACAAATATGCAGATGCTATTTTCATTTGCTTTGCTTTGCTAATATAATGCCTATTACAGCCATATAAAGACATGTTATGTATATAAAATGAAGTTGTTTTTGCTAAGCCTTTTTACCTAGGTGTAATTTGCAATGTTAGTTTGTTCTGAAGCAGGAATTGTGGGATTAGGAATAATAGAAGTCTTTTCTGAGGAGAAAATGAAATGATTTTCCTAACACAGGCATGCAATATTAGCAAAATTTTGACAGATATCTAGTGTGCGATAAATAAAGGGAGGAACCCTTTTCTTCACAAGTTGCACCTAATCGTAATTAGGTTTGCCACTGATAAGGGATGTATGTATGAGAAAGTAGCTCTTTTCTATCTTATTCAGTTTTCACTAGGCTGAATAGAACATTGAAACTTTCCCTCTCTACAGAAAAGTTGTATCCATTGGCATTTCCCCATAAACCTGTGTAGTAGAATGATGTCTCATCATTTACAGGACTTCAATCCACCCATCCCTTTCCAAGAGGTGATATGGATGGCATATAGCAGAGCAGGTGTCTGAGGAAATTCCTGAGCCACGTGACTGGTTGGGAGACAAAGCAATGGTTTATGGGTTTGTTTGTTTGTTAAAATTATCTTTGGGTAGAATTTTTAAATGGCTGCAATATGTTAGCATTTGTCCTATGTAATAAAGTTCATTTCCTAGAGTCATGATTATTTCTCTGTATGTGTTTTAGACGTATGTGTACAATGAGAATTCTGATGCTCCTAAAGATTTTGTAAGTTTAAACACTATGATCCGTAAGTGAAGCAACCCAATACTGTATAAATTCAATGGGGAAAACAACCCTGATATGTTGAATTAGCTTCTAATTACAGGAAAATAAAAGGGTAGTTGCTTTCTTTGCAACCTTTTAAGAGTTCTTACTTGGAATGATGAAAGGAAAACAGTTACATTCAAAAATAATTTTCAGAGAGAGATCTCTGCTATTTTTGAACAGGCTTGGGATATCTGTTTTACATGATAGACTGCTAAAAAGTACTAGACTTTTTGCTGTGCTCAGTGTTTGGAGTAGTTCCTTTACCCCATTGGTGGTAGACATTTTACAGCCAATAGAACCTTTGTCCATAAGAAGAAATTCTGTACCCTTGAGCTTAACATCTACCAAAAAACATCCGAGTTTGTTGGAGAGGAAGAGAAAAAGCAGTATCTTAGCTTATGAAGGCACACCCATGCTGAACTGACAGGAAAATAAAAATCAAAGCAGAAATGCACACTGCAGTCATATTACAAGGCTCATTCTTGAAATCTGAAGATCATGCTAGAAGAAAATCTAGATATGTATTCTATTTTTTGAAGAAGTGAATCAAAGGCAATATTATTTAGCTTCTTTGTAAAAAAAGATTCCATGTAAATGCAGGTAGAATCTTATTTAAAGAGGGAAATGAATGCTTGTATTGCAGCCTTAAAGATCATATTTTAACTGCAATATTTGGGTTCTTTTTATGTAAACTACAATCTGCAAATCAGCAGACTATGACTGAATGCTTTTGAAAAGTTATAGATTACAAACATGAACTCACAATTAATATCCTCTAAAAGTAATTTCAGAGCTTTCACGTCTTTAAAAAAAAAAGGACAATGTGTACTGCTTCACAAGGTAATGCAGCTAATAAAAAAGAGAGAGTAGAATTAAAGTATTTACATAATGAGCAATTCTACAGAAGGCGATCATCCCCATATAAGCACTGCTGATTATATCCCACGCCGCTTTTTAACACACTCTACCAGATTGGATCCAGTCATCAGCACTTTCAAAGAATCCTTAAAAGCCTTTCATGGTTCTTTACATTTATTGTAGAATGATATTCTTCAGGTACAGTATGCTGGTGTAAGAGGACAGTGTCAACACAAGGTACCAGCAGGACAATAGAACTTCAGTGCCCCCAGTGATTCCAAGCTGGGTCGTACTTGGAGCTGGAAAGAAAAGAACACAGACCTTTAAGCCAATGGTTCTGTTGTTTCCCCATTCCCCTCCCTTTTAAACTGTAAATTAGAATTATTATATCAACAGATGTCAAAATTAGCAAACAGCAGAAAAGCACAGCTGAAACAAAGAACACATAGGGGAAATTATACAGCTAAAACAGCCTTTGAAGTAATGCTAAAATGGGGTGCTCCAGGCAAAGTTCTGTAACATAGGTAGTTACTGAAGGGCTGGTTCACACATTTCATTTCTAATGAGGGAACACATGTACTTTAATACCTCTTTATACCCCTTTTTAGACAGTGGGATTGTAGTGGCAAGCCCCACTTTGACATAGATATGTTTATTGGTACATTTGTATAGACCTTATATGCACATGGTTAACACTGAATGATCAGGAGCACAGTCTTTTCAGGTTTTCTAATAGCATAGGAAAGAGTCCTATGCACATAGGTTCCATATAAACATTCCAATGAAAACTCAAAAGTTTTGGTCAGAACTTTCTGATGTGATGTCAGTATTTCAAGATATCTCCCTCCCATGCAGCAGTCTACACAGTCTTCACCTGGGATATATTGCCCAAGGAATCTTGTGTTTTCTTTCTTGTTTTCTTTCTCTGCCAGTTCATGTAGGCTACTATCTCAGCTTTCCTGGCATATCATCTGATTTGACCCTTTGTGTTGAAAGATGATTTATTCCTAGTTCCTTATACTAGGCCTTATTCCTAGTATCTTATACTTTTTTGCCGTAACTCTTCAGCAGTTGACATAATTCCAAAAAGCAGAAAAAGAAGTGTGTATTTGACCCATAGTTTGTTAAAATTTAATACGTTAGTAGGTTCCTTAACTAGTCAAATAGGCAGTAGCTGTTTTTCACAACCACAATAGTAACCAGGCCACCAATACTGAATATCTGCTGGTGTTGGAATGGAATACTATTGTGGTCCAAGTCTGACTCGAATAAATGCTTGGGGACCCAAGCAACCTGTAGCTTGCCATTTATTTTTTGTTTCAGAGATGCCCCAGCTATTATTCTATAGGGTACACAGCCACCCTGGCTATAGCCATTGCTCTAAAAGCTTCAGTAAATTCATTCTAGGCATCACTGAAAAGGATGTATTTTTGCATCCTTGGATAACAGAGATGACTGCTGGGTCTATAAAAATGTGGTGCATCCCATGACACCCTCAAAGGCCTTTGCAAACTTCAGATTCTTTAATATATGATAGTTTGTGCTCTAGCATACTTACGCTGCACATCATGTTTAGGAGTATGCCGGCATCCTGGGCTGACAATCACTTTTTTTCTGCCTGTGCTAGTTGTTGATAAAATTACTCCTCTTTCCCATTCTGTTCTGAAGCTATTGCTGGTGCAGCAACAGACTTTTTTCTTTAAGACATCTGGTATTTTGTTCAGATAGTATGCAGGCAAAATGTGACTGCAGCCACAGTATCAAGTTTTAATTTCATAGGAATAAAATGGCCCGGAAGAATTAGTATTTTGACCACCTGATGATACTTCATGATGAATCGATTAAGAGAGATTGATTACTTTCTGCTTTAACCAGGGATTTTGGCTATATTTTCTGGCTTAGTGGGTTGTCCTGCATGCACAGGAAAATGATTTAATTTTCTGTCTGTGTAACATATTAACCCCCAAACAGGACAGGTTGTTGATAGATGTATAGTACAAGTAAAGAACTCTTTGTGGGAATGACCTATGTGGTGGTGTTGCTGCTACACTTTGGTGGTCTGGCTTTGAACCTGGTGCTTAGAGTTCTCTGCTGTGTTAGGGCCTGAAGAAATGTGTCACTCTGTGACCCAGCTGTGAACTCAATTTGTGCTTGCATGACTTCAGAGTCTCTGCAGATGTCTATTGCCTTTGTAAACTCAGCTTTGATTCCCTTAGCAATTGCTATTCTCGTTTTTTAACAACCACACTGAAGAGAAACTTGGCCCTGAGCATATAGGATTCTCAGTGTTCCCAAACTACAGTTCCTTGCATTTGCCTCAGCTTTATAGCATATTTGTCCATCTGAGTTTCTACTGAATGAGACCAGCATTGAAATATCTCAAGAGCAATGTTATTTGTAGGATTGCAATTATTCTTAAGTATTTTTTTAAACCCCCACACATAATCTATATTAGGCCCCTTGGGCTGTTATGTTAGGTTTTTGTAAACCTCCGGGCAAGTTCTTCCATAATAGTGTACAGCAAAATGGCCACTTTGTACTTTTCTCCTTTTTTGTCTGCCTTTGAGACTTTCATATAGACGAGGGAACACTGTTCATATCATCTCCAGTTTTCAGCAAAATTGCCAATTAAGGGTAGAGGTGAAGGTGCTTTGCAGTCCTTCTTGTCTTCAAGCTTTTCTTTGGTTGTCTAGCTTTTCTATATATGAAGAGATTGGCATGGAAAGCAGAGCCTCCTAAACTCTTAATACTTTGTCCTGGGCTGTGTTACTGTATTCTGAATCTGTGAAAAGTTTGGCACTTCTGACATTGTGACCTTTTCCGCACCTCAATGCTGCCTCTGTTTCCCAGCAAACTGAATCCCCAGCTGATGCTCCGACTTTTCAGCACCCCTTCCACAAAAAGGCATTTTTCTTGAATTTGGATCTGACCCTCTCCATGTGTTCTGCACTTCCTTTGAAAAGGGGTAGTGCGGCCATGTCATGGTGTACTTTCTCTGTGACAGAACCTCCCTTTTTTTGCTTGTGTGCAGTAAAATTACAACATCATAACATTTTTTAAAAGGATGGATGTATTATGGGAAACAACATGGATGCCGCCATTTCAATCATCCCTCCTCCTCCTTAGTCACCAACTAAGAAAATGGCTGGGAGTCATAGAACTGGATACACCAATTCATAACAGTGTTATTCAACAATTATGAAGCATGCTAAATGTGCCATCATGTACTTTGTCAGCAGCAGAACCTCTTTTTTGTGTGTGCATATGCAGTAGTTTTATAACATCATAACTTTGTAAAAATAAAAATAAAAGACTGAATGTATCATGGGGAACAGCATTTCAAAGGTCCCCTGTCCCTCCTTAGTCATCAACTAAGAAAATGGCTGCTGATCAGCAAACTGGATACACCAATTCATAACAGTATTATTCAATAATTATGAAGCATGCTAAGTGTGTCATTATGTACATCATCAGTGACAGAACCTCCCTTTTTTGTGCATATTCAGTAATGTTATAACATCATAATATTGTAAAAAAAAAGGCTGGATGTATTGTGGAGAACAGCATGGTTGCCACCATTTCAAAGGCCAAGTAAGAAAATGGCTGGCAAAGATTTCCGCAAAATCCTCATGAAAATAGGATTCCATTCATGATAGTTTTACTGAATACACCAGTTCATCACAGTGTTATTTACTAATTATAAACCATGCTAAATGGAAACACTGCACATGTTGAGTTTCCATGATTATAAAATCTCTCCCTTATAATAAAGCAGTAGTGGGGACCAACGTTCTAAAATGCCCGCCTTTAGTGTTTGGCCGGAAGAACTGCCACTCAGAAGACATTGGCTGGGTTGACTGGCTGCTTTGTGCAGTCCCGCCCAGCATTCCAAGGTCTTTTGCATATGGAAGCTGATTGGACTTCACTCCATTCCACACCTCAAACTCCCCCCCCGCAAGGCAGTTGGAATGTTCAGTTGCATATGGGAACTACTGTATTCTGAGGTAACATATGTCCTCACTCACAACACATCACTTCCTCTTTAAAAGAAACAAACCCAATAACACAATCACCCCACACCACAAAGAAGACAGATCACACCACAAGCAGAATACCACAAGGCAAAAAATGATAGGAAAAGGTGCCAGCAGTCACCCCATTACTGCCACAGATAGTGTGCAGGTCCCAGGTTCATGTTTTAAAAGCTGCCTGGGGGACTATGGACTATTCACACACTTTCAACCTTAACATACCTCATAGGGTAGTTGTGTGGATCATACAGGGGAGAGGAGAATGATGTCAGCTGCTTTGGTTCCCACTGCAGGGAAAGACTGCCCTTTCCCTAGGCAGAGGCTGTGGGGGGGATGTAAAACTTAAGACAGACAGGCAGATAAAGGTTGGCTGATGGTTGCCTGGAAAGGACATAGGGTTGAAGCCTGCTGAGGGTGGGGTCTGAGGAGGAGGAAGAGGGGGACCTCAGACAGATACAATGCCATACTGCCCACACTCCAGACAAGCTGTTGCCAGTCTCCAGGTGACAGCTGGAGAGATCTTAAAGCTTTGGTGCTAATTCAAAGTGTTGCAATTTATCAACAGAGTAGTGTTTTGGAAAATCTTTAGGAATTGTTTGGTGCATTTACGATGGGGCTCCTGGGGAACTATTGCTGCCAATCTTGGCCCAGCAGCCATCAAACCATTCTCTTCAACCCCCTGCTGTGCAGCTGACTTCCCCCTAGGGTTGCCAATCTCCAGGTGGGACCTGGAGATCTCCCACTGTTACAATTGATCTCCAGATGACAGAGATCAGTTCCCCTGGAGAAAATGGATGCTTTGGAGGGTAGACCCTATGACATTATACCTGCTGAGTCCTTCCGCCCCCCCGCCCAATGCTGCCCTCTACAGAATCCACCCCCCAAACCTCCAGGTATTTCCCTCCTTAGAGCTGCCAACCCTACATTCCCCTCAGTGCCTGTTGGTAGGTAACTAAGCTTGGTCCTGTCACCTACTTTGGCCTTTGGGAGAAAACACATTGGGGCCAGTCCTGATAGAGTTGCCAACTCCAGATGGGAAATTCCTGGAGACGTGAGGGATGGAGCCTGAAGAGGGTGAGGTTTGAGGAGGGGTGGGACCTCAGACAGGTACAATGCCATAGACTCCACCCTCCAAACCAGTCAGTCCCTCATAGGGAACCATTGTTGCCAATCTCCAGGTGAGGGCTGGAGAGCACTCAGAATTACAACTGCTCTGCAGAAGGGAGGGCAGAAGTCAGCTGAAGTCAAAGGGGCAGATAATGGTAGGT